CGGCCAGGAGGCGGGTCCGACAGCGCCGGGCCTGGCCGGCCTCCTCACGCCGCTCTGGGCATCGCTGGGCCGAAGAGGCCGTCCCAAAGCAAAGCCTCTCGGAACCCCCAGGGCCTATGTATGAGCCCAGACATCTGCACGGCTCCCCGCCACGGTGTCTGGAGCGATGCGTTGCCATGCCCGGGGCCCCCGGCCGGGGCCAGGCCCAAATCCTAGGCCTAGGAACTTGGCCCTAAGCGGGGAACCCTGCCCAACGTGAAGCGATGGCGAGGGGGAAAGTAACAGGCGTTTAGGAGAGAACAGCTCTCTCGGGGCGAGAGCGAGCTTCAACCTTTTTGGCCTTTATGGAAAACTTGAGTATTCTTATATAAATGAGTTGTAACTGGCACTGTTCTTCCCTAGATGTTAGGGTTAGTCAGTGTTTCCAGTTTGCAACTGGACACCAAACGAAACACACCATTCTCCTACACTTTGTTTCAAACTTACTGGCGAAAACCCCTACGCTGCGTGGTGCTTTGAGCAAGAAATTACTACGTACAACGTAAGCCGCGAGCCAACGCTCAGATTCCAAATACAGCCCCTAACACATTTTTTTAATGATACGCTTCATGGATCTGTTGTGATGCACCCCAAATAATGAAAAAAAAAGGGTCGCAATTTAAATATGGAAAATATAAAGGGTTAAAAAAAATGAAACACAACCTGCAGTTCCTTACTGATGAAGTAAGAGCACTGCAAGCTTTATTCTCTGTCATCTACACAAAACTGATATTGAAGTAGTTTTGAACACATGGACGGTCGCAAGAAACTGCTTTGCATGAAATAATTTCAGCTAAAGCAAGTTGTGTGTATTTTATCAGAATAACACTACCGTCAGAATCCTCAGGGAGGCAGTGCTTGCTTCTCCTTGTACCTTAGGTACAAGTCGTTCCTTCATTTTCGACTCACAGACCTTGTCCATATGCTGCCGAAATCCTGGTTTACTTTTGGGCTTTAATATCGAGTGAATCACATAAAATCGCTGGTGGGAAAACCTACCAAATCAGAAAATAATATGCCAGGTACTGACAGGCCAGTAGCCTACGAGGCATCTGTCTCCATATTTGTGCTCATGTTTGTTATAAAGGAGGGATACAACAAGAAACACAGATGGGCCCTCAGATGCCAAGATTCTACAAGAACCAGAAGAAATCGTAAAGCGTTTGCTGCAACTGAGAGATAACGAGCAGACTGAGGAGACGCCTGGAAGCATAGACATGCCTGCAAGGACACAACGCTCAGGGAAGGAATTGGGTGTAGATTTTATGTTGTCTGATTCACTCCGAGTTAAAGATCTGAGTTCACAGCTGGTTTCAGCCCATGAAGAGTGTTTTGGCCCTTTTATGACCACAAGAAAAAAGGACTGACAGCACACCAAAGCTCCAGTAGAGGTGAGGTCCCACTACAGTGAGCGTTAGCAAAGTGCATCCCTTCATATGGTTAGAATCGGGATGAAAACAGAAGTTTTCTGCTGGATTTTTAAAACTACCTCCCCAGCCCCCAAGGCATACCAGAAAGTTCTGGAGAAATGCAACATACCCTCTTTCCAGCGGCAAGAACTGCAGTGTTAACGGGCAGTTTGTTCAGTGAAATGAGCTCACAGGTAATTTCCTCCTGCCTGCCAACCTAGTATTGACATAACCTAGAAACAACAGTCCATTCTGTGTTATTTAAAAAAGGCCAACAAGGACACAATGGTGTTTACTTCTTTTATTACAAAACATACAAAAACACAGAGTGTAGTGAAGCTATCATTAGAAATGTGAACTTTCTATTTACATACACAGAATTCCCCAAGTGGAACAATATCAAATGTGAGACACATTATCAGAATATACCATATGTACAGGTTCAGAGATTTCATCTCTCTGTTACTCTATTGTTACACAAGAAGTCAATTCCTACCTGTCTTACAAAAGTATTTTAAATTAAGTTTATGAGACTACTCAGACAAAATAAAGCAGAATCTGGGCAACGTTCTGCTATCTGAACCGTTTCTTTATAAATACAGTACAACACAGTAAGAGCCAGGTTTTCAGCCAGGCTCAATCTTCTGTTACGTCAAATATCCCAGGCTCCAAACTGACAGACGTAAAATAATGGGAACCATTACTGATTTTTTTTGACATCAAACCAGAAATATCTCAGGAGTGAAAGACACGCTGGTTTTCAGATCACTGATCAATTATTAGGAAAAGCAAGCCTTTTTCTTATTTTTTTTTTTAAAAAACCAAAGCCAAATAAAATACTTGAGCTTGCTTTGTGGGATCAGACACTCTGTTAAAAAAATAAAAGAGGACACACCACTCCGTACTGTCCTTAACAGGAACCAACTACCACTCAATAAAATAAGGCACTTCTTCCCTTAGATCAGTCCACTTTCCTAAATTTTAGTTCAGCTCCATTTTACACAGAGGAGTGATTTCAGCGATGCCCCTTGTGACAGCAAAAGGGATCTTGTTCAGAACTGTTGCTCTCCAAGCACGGATGGCCTCAACGATACCTTCTGGATTGCTTGAACCCAAGTCACACAGTGCATATATGGCTGCCAGCTGCACACCCCAGGGAACACCTGCAAAAAGTTAACACAAAGCAGCTTATAGAAACTTTGATATGCAAGAATGCTTTTGGGAAAGTGGAACCTAAAGAAATCGTTAGGTCAAGAATCGAAATCCAAACACATGAACAAGTGGGATGCCTAAGACCTGAAAGTAGCAAGATGACCACCTGTACTCAAAATTCTGTAACATCAAATTTTATACCAGCACTTTCCAGTTTTCTGAATTCAGGTTTTCAGTATTCAATTGAGCATCTAGTCATTTTACTCTAGTTAAGGGCGAGTTAAAGGTTTTATGAAAACAGTCGGGTTTACACGGATGTACATCGCTTCCTTGGAAGAACTGGAGATTGCAGGGAAGAGAAGCTATACATGCGGTTCAAAACAGCTCCCTGACATCAAGCAGTGCTTCACTGCAAACTGTACTTCACATTCAGAGTAACTTAGCAATACAGATCTCTGCCGCCCTAATTGCCTTGCTTTGTCTCAGTCAGGAATTTAGACTGTCTCACCAGTAGCCAGCTTCAGCATCAGCTGCTCAGGCAGCAAATCGGCTGTCACTGCTCAAGTTAAGATCACCCTTTAAGTTCCCAGAGGCAGCTGCCGCGCTGTCGCACGCAGCAGTGTATGTCCAAAGTGGCTGACACTGTCTCAGGGTTGTTCTCTGTCTCAAACAGAAGGTAACACACGTGCTTCATTCACTTCGGAAGGGACTCAAACCGAAAGCGCTTTGTGCTGTTATGCACGAACACAAAACTGCACAAGCAGGCTGTTTTGGCACATAGCATGTCTCAGTACGCGTGTGTTCTCTACGCTGGCAAAACTTCACGCTGCCAATGTTCCACTAAGGTCCCTTTAGGCGAACTTTACCTTCCTCTTTTGCGTGCTGTACAAACAGTCCAATTACAGAACTAATATTCTTCACTGCAGCAAGGCGTCCTTCCTTCAGACCTATTTGGCCCAATCGACCTGAAAGAAAACCAGATTACCACGTATCTGACATTTAGACGGACAACTTGCAAATTTGCAGACTTACTGACTTGTCGGTATGTCAAGGGAAAATGCAACATGTCCATTACAAAAATTAGTCATTCCTGTTACCATGTCGTTTTGGGAACAACAGCTCTCCTATCGCTTTTGTGACTAAAGGCACCAAGGCATTTTTCATGGGACTGATCCAACGTCCAGCAGGTTTTACAATTTGTGTGAAACTCTCCAAGAATGCAATTTCTGTTTAACAGACAGTATTACATAGCCGACGTACCGAAGGTGTCTCTCAAAACCCAAAGTTTATCTATTTACCTTGAATGCCACCTAGATCCCAAATAAATGTATCTAACTTAAAACTGCAGGAAAAGTTATCATGTTGCATATAAAACCTTATTTTGTATACTTTGCTATAAAGCATATGTAGCTACAGATGACTTAATTTTAAATATTTAAACCAAAAAATGTTGGTATCTGTTACTGTGAAATCACAGTCACATCTCAGAACTGAAGTACATGCTTTCCACAGGCTCACAAACAGGAAGGATCTGTCTGGGATTGTGAAAGCTTGGCTTTTAAGGTGACAATTTTTGAAGAAAGTGAGGAAAAAAGAAAGTCAAGATGCAAAAAAATGCGAAACTCCTTTGATTCGCTTTCCACCCAGTCTGACACTTTCAAAGGACACACGAAGTTCAATCAAGAATTTAGATTGCTTACCAATTAGCCTGAGTGTCAATGCTATAACACTGTCAGGAATGCACTGAGCAGTTTCATGCCCCTTTCTCTTCTTTACCCATTTATCCATGGAAGGCCAAAGCACTTTGCTGTGAAAGACAAATGAGTTTGAAAATCTGATACTGCATGAAGGAGTGGAACAGTATTTATACAATAATGAACACAAATGGTTCTTCTATTTACCATGCATTTCCGTATCTCCCCTTGCATCTTTAATTCACCTTCTAGGGAAACTCACAATATTCCAATCATCCACAAATCTGAGTAATGTAAAGAAGGTTTTAAACCCAAACAATCAAAGCTAACTT